TTCATGAAAAAACATAATATGCAACTAGCATGATTGCATTCAACATTAATGTATGTTGCACTCGAGATGGTTGCATCTCATATTTTTATCATGCATAGTTTTTAAAACATGTTTATACATTGATTAGAATGCTTTAGGAGTTTTTAGTAGATTTTTTCAATTTTACTAGAGCTAAACCTATTTTTTGAATGTTTAAAGATGTTTTCATAAGCTCTAAATATTTTTTTTGGATTTTTAATACCCTGATCTATCTCTAATTTTTAATGTGATTTAAAAATCCTTATAAACTATTTACCAAAATGTTTAACTTAAAAGGACAAAAGTGCCTTCAAAACCACTTTAAATCAAAGGCAAGGTGGTAATTTGAACATTTTTGGAAGTTTCAGGGATAAGACGCCTGATTTTAAGTTCAAGAAGGAAAAATAAACTATGATAATAGTTCAAGAAGATAGAATAGGCTTTTTAATGCTTTGTTTGAGATTGCCAGATGGGCATGTGCAACTCGTGAGTAGAAAAGGGTGATGAGGTGAGCGAACAATTTTGGTTTCGCTGAGAAGGACTATAGTACATTCTTATATAAATCTATTCGAAAAAATAAAGAAAATATAATAGGCCATTTCAATCTTTGTGCTATCTTATATAGGTGGATGAGACAACACAGAACTCAATAGGTAACATGACAATTCTTATAAATTGTGGACCAACCCAAAATTCTAGAACCTAATTCAATCATTTTTGTTTCCCATTGCCACCCATGTAGCCCATGACCTAAAGCCTTGTGTAGTCCCTTTGATTTTAAATTATTGCCATAGATGTTTTTTTTCTAATGGCCTTGTTTAGTTCATCCTCCCTAAAGTTTACTCCATATCTTATCGAATATTTGGACGCATGCATGGAATATTAAATATAGACTAAAAAAATAACTAATTGCATAGTTTGCGACTAATTTACGAGACGAATCTTTTAAGCCTAATTAGTTCATGATTTGATAATGTGGTGTTATAGTAACACATGTGCTAATGACGGATTAATGAGGCTTAATAAATTCGTCTCGCGGATTACTGATGGGTTCTGTAATTTATTTTTTTTATTAATATCCAAACACCACATACTACACCCTTATATAACATCCGATATGACAACAAACCCCCTAGTTTAAACCACGCCACAATCGCATTATACTATCACTGCTCCATGGAATTTCCGCCAAAGGTTGTTTTCAAGCGTAAGCTTATCCATGTGGCTACTGGCTAACGTTATACACTTGCGGCAGCGTTGAACAAACAAAAACAGCCCTGCCGAAACTCCCGGTTCTACCCCTGCCCTGCGTCGAGACTACGTCAAAGTCAATGGGCCAATCACCGCGCGCCGAGCTCCAAAACCACCACCACCAACCCGGGCCCACTACCCTCTCCGTCCCTAGTACCCTTTGCCCCCGGTTTCCGCCCTCCTCCTCTTCACTCGCCTCCTCCGATGGCTCGCCCCCGCCGCATCCTCTGACCGCACCCCCCCCAGGCCTCCCCGGAGAGCGGCGCCGCGATCTCGCCGGAGATGGCGCCGCCGCCTCCCCCGGCGGGGGAGCAGCAGCAGCCGCAGCTCCACGGGGTGGTCATCATCACGCTCCCTCCCTCGGACCAGCCCTCCAAGGGCAAGACCATCACCGCCTTCACCTACACCGACGACGCCCCGCCCCCGGAGCCGGTGATGGGGTACCCGGCGGCGACGGGGGTCAGGCGGCGCCCGAGGCGGGTGCTCTCGACGCGGCGCGTGGCGGCGGCGGCGCTCGTGCTGGGCGCGCTCGCGGTCGCCGCCTACTACTGCTTCTACTCGGACGTGGCCGTGCAGTTCCTGGGGATGGAGCAGGAGGAGGCGCAGAAGGAGCGGAACGAGACCAGGTCCTTCCTGCTGCCGCTCTTCCCCAAGGCGCGTCAGGGCCGCGCCCTGCGGGAGTTCGGGGACGTCAAGCTCGCCGCCAGGAGGGTCGATGACGGCGGAAGGAAGGCGAGGAACAAGATGGAGGTCGCGAAGGCGGCCGCGGCCGGGACCAATTCCACGGCGTTGCTCCCGATCAAGGGCAATGTCTTCCCCGATGGGTACGCAAACAATCGCGCAGGCATTCCATCTGATTTCAACTCTAATAGCGGCTCATTTGTGATTTGAGTCGATAGAGTAGTCTTGAAAGGGTCGATAGCTTGGATGGATTAGATTTTGGGGAATTTCCTGGATCCCAATGTGACCAAATTGGGTAGACATGTTGCTATATTTATTTGTTTATTACTAATATGACCAAATGCGGTTTTTGAAGTATGGTGATTGTCATGGAATTACAAGTCTTTATGTTTCTTCTGATAGGCCTAGGTTCGTCTAAGCTTGTTGTACGGGTGTTTATTTGTATACAATCATTTAATAGGTTTTGGAATGGACTTAGTTTTGCTGTATGTGTGTTTATGACTTGTGACCCGTTGAGTATTCATAAAAGCAGGCCTTTTGCGTGCCGACTACTATTGAGGTCAGAATATCCAGTATTAATCGATATTCATATCTTATCCACTTTTCTTCATTTTTATGTGCCTGTGGACAATGTAAAGGATGATATATGTGACATTTCATTCTTGTTCCATTGAAGCTAATTCTATCTTATTAAAACTGCAGCCAGTATTATACATCTATCTTTGTTGGGAACCCTCCAAGACCATACTTTCTTGATGTTGATACTGGAAGTGACTTGACGTGGATCCAGTGTGATGCACCATGTACAAACTGCGCAAAGGTATGCAATCGAATAACAGCAATTTCCATTCTACTTATAATGGCAACTTTTTCCTAAGCGACTCTAGGATTTCCATTCGCTATTTTGGGTACCTCATTAGTAAGAAACAATATGGTTATCTTAGTTTTACTCGCTATTAGCCTCATTGTTGCTCTTTCATTGTATGGCTCTCTGATGAACATGTGTGACAATTTCAGGGACCACATCCTTTATATAAGCCAACAAAAGAAAAGATTGTCCCTCCTAGAGATTTGTTATGCCAAGAATTGCAAGGCAACCAGAACTACTGTGAAACCTGCAAGCAGTGTGACTATGAAATTGAATACGCAGACCAAAGCTCCTCAATGGGTGTCCTTGCAAGGGATGATATGCATCTGATCGCAACCAATGGTGGAAGGGAAAAACTAGATTTTGTCTTTGGGTATGTCCAAACCTTTCAGAAGCAGATCTCTTTTATATGTATGATGTATTGGAAAAGTATGATGTCAGATCATTTAACTTTTGCTGTCTATGGTCTAGGTGTGCATATGATCAGCAAGGCCAGCTTTTGTCCTCACCAGCAAAGACCGATGGGATCCTTGGACTTAGCAATGCGGCGATAAGCCTTCCCAGTCAGCTGGCAAGTCACGGGATTATTTCCAACATTGTCGGCCATTGTTTCCCTAGAGATCAAGGTGGTAAAGGATATATGTTTCTGGGAGATGATTATGTACCTAGATGGGGAATAACATGGACTTCTATCCGAAGTGGTCCAGAGTAAGTCTTATCATGTTTCTTTGAAAATGTAATTGCATGCATTGCCATCTCCCTTTTGGATCATATATTTTGGCTGAATTGCCTTGTCTTTTGTTGCAACTATCCTAAAAGATCATAGAAAAGTTTATCCCGTTTTCTTTCGTTACTCGTTAGTCATGACCTTTTCTCTTTTCTTTTCTCCAAATTTCCAGTAACTTATATCACACAGAAGCCTACCATGTAAAATATGGGGATCAGCAACTCCGGGTGCGTGAGCAGGCAGGAAACGCTGTTCAAGTAATTTTTGACAGTGGAAGCTCCTATACGTACCTCCCAAATGAAATATACGAAAACCTTGTTGCAGCAGTGAGTATTGCTAGCGCTTGTTCATTGGGATGAATATTCAAAATCGGCTTGCTAACTTTCTTTTGTTCACAGATCAAATATGCGTCTCCGAGCTTTGTCCAAGACAGCTCAGATCGGACATTACCTTTATGCTGGAAAGCTGATTTCCCTGTGAGGTAAAATAATAATGGAACTATTAGTACTGTCTCTTTAGAGAGGGAGTTCATCAGGCAACTATGCCACTAGATAGACTACCTGTCCTTAACATTACTTTCTTTGCCAGGTATCTGGAAGATGTCAAGCAGTTCTTCAAGCCCTTGAACCTTCACTTTGGGAAGAAATGGCTTTTCATGTCTAAAACATTCACTATTTCTCCTGAGGATTACTTGATTATTAGTGTGAGTTTCTTTTGGCATTCACATCCTAGATTACTGTTTATTCTTCTATCATATATATGTCAACATTTCTAAGCTGAGTCATATGGTGGCATTTATGTATATATGTTCTTTTTCTTGGTGGACCTTTTCCAGGATAAAGGAAATGTCTGTCTTGGGCTTCTCAATGGGACAGAGATTAATCATGGGTCAACTATCATAGTGGGAGGTATAAATGACCTTCCTTCAATCCTTTCATTTTAACAATTGGATTTTAGTGTTACCCATTGAATAAACCCAGCAGTATAGCGAAAATGTGTTGATATTGCCAAACTTCAACCAAAACCTTTCTGTTTTCTGTAGATGTTTCTCTGCGCGGCAAGTTAGTTGTGTATGACAATCAACGGAGGCAGATTGGATGGGCAAATTCAGACTGCACCAAACCGCAATCACAAAAGGGCTTTCCCTTCTTCCTCTGACGAGCATCCCCACTGGCAATAATACATGTGTAAAGCTTAAATTGTGAACGCCGTTGGTATTCTAGAATTCGTTATTAAGTAGAACCTGCCGTTGTGTATGGTATATCGTTCCATGTGCTGTACTCGTCTGTAATGTGTATACTGTGTTGTACACTTGTATTATGTATACACACTGTCTCCTCTACATGGAGTTTTTGTAGATTAGTTACATTATGAACATTTTCGACCTAAGTTGGCTACTGTACACATTTGACCATCCATTCAATACTGGGTGGGTTTTTTTTTTAATCATCTGCGTCACTTCAACCGAAAAAAGTCATGTATTCTAGATAAAACCCCAGGAGGCTCCCTGCTGATTGTCGAAGGTTCCTCCACAGGGTCCTTGAAGTTAGCTTTGTCACTCAACTCCCCAAATGCATCAACAAGATTCTGGAGCCGGGCAACAAACTCGATGAGGAGCGATGCGAATGTGGCCAGCGACAAGGCGCTTGCGCTCTCGTAAGTTCTTGATTCCCCACTTTCAAATGGAAAGCTTGGATGGAAAGATTGTCGGACAGACCATGATGATTGCGCCTTATATGAACCGACTATCATTGATCCTGAATCATATCTGAAGAGGACCGGATTTGAAGAATCGAATCTGCTCAGGAACGGGTTTGAAGCGTAGCTGTTTGATATGTGCATTGAATCGACAGCGGTGTTCTCGGGTGGTTCATCCTTGTCAGCAGCATTGGCACCATCATGAGTTTGTGCAGTTCCGGCATGCCTTGGAATGACTTCCCATCTTTCTGTATTGACGAAAAGGTAAGACTTCTCATCAATCTTCTTTTGCAGCTCTTCAGCTGCAAAGTGCACTTCTGAAAGAATGTTTGAAGAGCTCAGTTTCGTCATCGTCTTGACTCTCTGCCCAAGTTCGCGCAGCACTTTAGCACCTTCTTGGCCCACTCTATGAAGCTCTGCACAGAAAACCTTTCTGCTCTCCGGTGGTGCCTAAAATTTGTAAGACAAAGTTAGCAAGGAAATCCGTGTGTTCAGTCATCCACCCCCCACGCCGCGTGCTCACCGTCGGGGACGCCCCAGTCGAACGCGAGCAGCGGTTCCCGCGCCCCGTGCTGGTCCAGCGTCGATCGCAGAGTCCCCAGCTGCGGCGGCAGGCCCGCCGGCGGCGCCCCCATTGCCTCGACAAGAGATCGCGCGGCGCGGCGCGGGGCGTGGCTTAATTTCTCCGGCCTCGCGACGACGTACGCGCCTACGCGGCGCGCGGTTAGGTCCGGTATCATTCGATACGATGCGCGCGCATCGATCGGAGGAGGGGAGCTCGGGTGCTCGGGAGCTCCTGTTTTATCGGAAGTTAGTTTCGTTTCAGGTGGTTCGGGAGCCCGACTCCTGGTCGGGGAGTCGCGTGCGTTTCCTTTCCGAATCGTAGCCGTAGGAATTGGCCAGCAGCCGAGCACCAGCGATGGCGAGGCGCGGCCTCAAGCGAATATTGCGTCCCTCCACACGGGAACGGAGGCTCTCAGCTCTGGTTTTTTATATAGGGGTGCTCTGAACTCTGATGAAGCCGTGGTGACGAAGTCCGTCGCCGACTCTCCATGTGGCACACGACGGCACCGAATTTTTTTTATTTTTCAGTCTTTTTTTAATAATATTCACAAATAGATCATGGTGGTTTGATTTTTATTTATGGATTCTGACCTCGGCGCCATGGCTTTTGGTGTCGAGAAAACACGTCTCGATGTCATGGCCAATGACGTCGAGGTCTTAGCGAGGCGTCGGACATGGCGGTGACATGGCTCCGACGTGGACAAGGCCTCGGCACCATAGATTTTGGAGCCTAGCTCGGCATCGTAGATCTTGACGCTGAGCTGTTACCCTATAGATCTTGACGTTTGAAATAAATTTATAGATCTTTTGCTACATTTTTATAAGCAATAAAATAAGAAAAATTATTTCAAGAAACATACAATGATCCCATTGTGGTCCAATTGGTTTGGACGTACGGGTCTCATCCCACAAACCTGGGCTCGAACCCAAGTAGCAAATATTTTTTTGTTAAATTTTTATTTTTATAAGCAATTACAACATGAAATATTATTCCTTTATTATTAGCGTCCTGGGTTTCACCGCACACTGTATATTATTGTTCCATTGTTCTATCGTACACTGTATATTTAATTTATTTTTTATTTGATTTTGAAACATTACGTACCTTGATCAAGTTGAGTTGAGTGGTGTGTTTATATATATCTTGTTGGTTGGCCGTCCTTTTATTTACATGCATATGACTTTTGTCATCATATATATAAGTTGAAGGCTTCCGAGACAAGGAGTAAATAAATAAAAGAATTTATTTTACACTAAGTAAGTGTAATTTTCTTTGTCTCCCTTTTTCAGTGTTGAACTCTTTAATTTGTGTACCTCCCTATTTTACATGAAATAGAATTAACAAGAAGAATGAACTTAATGTATTAACTAAGAGCTCCATATTATCATCATTTGGATTGTTCAACTAAGTTTGGTGAGGAACGGAGAAAGATCTCCCCCTCGTAAAAAAAACACTACTACCGAGATATATAAACTAATAAATAAATAAATACATCCATGATTATGATAATATAAGGAGGATTTGGATTTATATAATATATAAATAAATGCACCTTGAGATGTATCCTTCGTCCAAAACAAATTACAAATTAATGAATAATGTACTCTCATGTTAATAATAACAAAGTTTGGTGGACCCAGACGTTAGTAGTAACTAAGGAAGAAAAAAATGATTAATAAATACAGCAAACAAAATTTTCCTGCTGGATTTGAACCTTGGTCTCATGTTAGAGTCAAGCATTCTAAGACTACAACTGAGATACAACATGCTGGGGTTCGAACCCAGGCATTTGAGCTAAGTCACGCGCGTCCTAACCAGCTGAACCGCAATAGCGTTGTTTCATGTTCCTCGGAACAATTATACTTGTTTTATTTCAAATGTCAAGATCTATAGGGTAACAGCTCGACGCCGATCTCGGCGGCGCCGAGATCTATGGTGCCGAGGTCTTGTCCACGTCGGCGCCAGGTCATCGCCACGTCCGACACCTCGCCAAGACCTCCATGGCGCCGAGATGTGTTTTCTCGGCGCCAAAAGCCATGGCGCCGAGGTCAGGGTCCATAAACAAAAATCAAACCACTGGTGGTCTATTTGTGATTTTTTTTAAAAAAAATGGACTGAAAAATAAAAAAATTGGCACGACGGCGTCGCTCGGGACTCGGATCACACACAAAAAAAAAATAGAGATGGGCCTAAAAAGAAACAGCGATGCTCGCATCTGAGTTAGCCCATTATGACCCGTTAAATTTTCTTGGCCCGCGGAAACTCTGAAATTACGGCCCACAATGCCCGAGCCTGCTAACCTCCTGCCCTAGTGCTCCCCTCCTCTCTATCTGTCTCCCAGGCACTCCCAGCCCCTATGCCTTCCTCCCACGGTCCCACGTCCGCCACGCCGCCGCGCTGCTTCTCTTTAGAGACTTTTCCCTGTGTGCCATTATAAAAGATCGTAATCCCCTGTGTGTCCCTGAAAAAATTCAGCGGTCTTCAGCGCCACTACTTCAACTTTTTCGTGTCCTTCATGCCACTTAAATCGGTTTGGGCGTTAGCTTAAATCAAGCTGCGAGGTGTGAAAAGACGAAAATGCCCTTAAGTTCAAATATGTTATTAATTTTTTTTAGCATCTTAACGACTTCAAATGAAAAAACTCAAAACTAGAAAGTTGTAGATCTCGTCGAGATCTATAATTTTCATATAAATTTTTTTTTCATTTAATTCCATAAAAAAAATAATATGATTTTTCTAAGATATATTAATCATATCAAATCATATTTTTTTTGCGAAATTAAATGAAAAAAAATTTATATGAAAATTATAGATCTCAACGAGATCTACAACTTTCTAGTTTTGAGTTTTTTCATTTGAAGTCATTAAGATGCTCAAAAAAAATTAATAACATATTTGAACTTAAGGACATTTTCGTCTTTTCACACCTGCAGCTTGACTGCGTGCTAGAGCCCAAAACCGACGGAAGTGGTTAATGGATGACACTAAAAGTCAAAAGTAATGGCACAAGATCGCTGAATTTTTTTCAAAAGTACATAGAATTACGATCTTTTATAATAGCACACAGGGAAAAGTCTCTTCTCTTTACTGTCCCACCTCCAACCCTGCCGCCGCGGCGGATTAATCCAGTACAGGGCGAGAGACGTGATAAGTTTCTGAACTTGCAGCGCTAGGGCCAGCGATGTCGAGACGGCGGCGCCGATCGGCCTGTCATGGGCGCCCAAGCTTCCTTCATTTGCAACGACCAGCAGCAGCAAGAGCGACCAGGCGCCGAATCCGAGCACCGCGCAGGGGTCGCTCTGGAAGCCCGCGAGCGAACTCGTGGACGGGTTGTTCGTGCCCCCGAGGGACCCTAGGCAGCTGAATAAGCTGGCCAGGAAGAACGTCAAGGACACCACTGGCAAGGGCTGGTGAGTTTACCTTGGAATCCACCCTAGCTCTCTTGATTGGTTGCTGCCGCATGGTAGGGCTTATGTGCGAGCGTTTATGCTTTGCTGCTGCATTTCTCAGGTTCGACATGCCAGCGCCGACCATCACTCCCGAGTTGAAGAAGGATCTAGAGATTTTGCAGGTGTGGTGTTACTTCTGATTCAGTAACCTTACTAGCAGTAGGATGCCGTAGTAGCCTGTAAAACGGATAATATGCTATCAAGAATTTCTGGACTAACGTTGATAAAGCAAGCAAAACATGTTTGTGCAGATGCTATTGCATCAGTGTGTAGTAGGGCGAACACAGAGCAGTTTACTGCAACAACCTGACAGTGTTACCATCTGATTGAAGCTATTTTACTTTTTACGAAAAAAGAATCTGAATTGTTTCACTTGAGATTCAGGATACCATGTAAATTGTAATGCACAGTGTTGGATGTGCCTGTCTCTACTCAATTGGTATCGTGTGTTTAGTGATTCTGGTTTGTCCTTTGGGATGCTTATGCGATAATATGTTTGCCATCTGTTTTTGCAGCTGAGGCATGTAATTGACCCAAAAAGGCACTTCAAGCGGGCAGGAAAGTCCAAGGCCCTTCCCAAGTACTTCCAAGTAAGTAGCCTAATCACCATCAGGCAGAGTTATTCAGCATTTTTTTTATCATCCTAATCTGTGGAAAGCTTTATCTATCTCTTCTGTAGCTGATGTGTACTGAACATTTCAATGTTGGCTTTAGGTCGGTATGGTTGTTGAGCCTGCATCTGAGTTCTACTCAAGTAGGCTGAAAAATAGGGAACGCAAGGCAACATTGGTCGACGAGCTGTTATCAGATCAATCTCTTAAGAGCTACAGGTATGCTCATCATACGTTTGCTGTTTTGCATGTACATTAATGGACAGTGATTTTTTTTTCAGTGCAAGATTTTTCTGTATCTATTAAATACGGCCTTTCGGATCACTAGCAATTCATGAAATTTAGTTATCTAGCATTAACTGGAAACATTGTATGTAGGGATAGTTGTAACCTGTGAAACCCATTTTAGGTATACACATCAGAGCCCTGTAATTATTATGTTGATTGGACTCTGAAACAAGGCTCCAGTGCACAGAAATTCAGAACGGCATCCTAGTTTCAAGAATCAATTTCCTTGTTCCATTTAGAGTCCAGAGCATGTTACCTTTAGCCCTTTTCCCCATCTTTGATCATTCAAATGACCCCAAAATGAGAACAGAATAAACTGATATTGTGCCAGATCTTTTCCATAGCTAGTGCTTTCTTTTTCTTTTTTTCATCTGAAATTGAATGTGTCATTGATCTCCAATGAAATGCAGGATGCGCAAGGTACGTGAAATTCAGGAGATCCGTACACCAGGAGGCAACCAAAAGTGGAAGAACAAGGGCACAAAAACACTTAAGAGGGCGAAGGATAGGAGAAAATGAGATTGGTGTGCTAGCTTTGTGCTCTGGTTGTGAGAGAAGAGATTGGAGAAGTGAACCAAGGACAAGTTGCTCTAGACCTCTAGTACTGTCTCTTGACTTTGCAGTATAGATTGTGGTTCCAATGTAGTGGTGAACTTCAGTAACATGACGAATTGATTTTCAGTTCTAAATATTTTAAACTGTTGCTGTAACACCGGAATTCAGAAACGTCGGTTGGTAGACTCTTTCAAGTTAGCTTCATATATTGAGAATCACGGGCTCTGCTCATTTTTCTTGCTGTGCCGTGTCTGCTTATGATCATGTCTGCAGTTTTGCTTTTCTCTTGCTTTCGAGAGTCAATCTGGCGCATAGATGTTACATGAATACATGGGAATGTTTTCACTCGGAATTTTTATGTATTCGCACATGTTTGCATTCTCACCAGTGTGCTGATGATTCTAGATCCCCAATTCTTACCACTTTGTAAGGATATCAGCTCTTGGTCATGAAAGGTGATCAATTCTGTCGCTTGAGAGCAGCATTGCCATCACCCATCAGGAATGGGGTACTACATGATTGGAGCCGACCGGGTGTGGCGGCGAACACGCGCGCTTGGCTCGTGTGGTTGTAGTCATATATCGTCTTTAAAAAGGCCGCTTGGTAGGGCAGGCGAGCACGGTTGGACGGCGTGGGGACTGGGGAGGGCACCCGAGCCGCCGATGTCACGCGGGCACTGCGGCAGCATGTGCCGGGACGGCTGCAGAACCACTCCGAGAGTAGAGACGATTTCGTGGTGGTGTTGCGCTTGCGCCTTGTCCTTTTGGCGAGATGAACCGACGGTCCTCCCCTCCGCTCCATATTGGTGTCACGGTGTGCGGCCCGTGCAGGATCGAAGGCGCGGACAGCTGGGACTGGGACTGATCGGAGTGTGGTGGACCGGACGTAGGACGGCATCGGCACATGGTGCCGTGAATTCAGTTCACTGCCCACCTGACCCCATCGAAACGAAGAGCAGTAGAGTACTACTGTCTTCGTCTAGTCTAGAAAAACATACAATTCGAACTTACTATCGAGTCAAGAATTCCCTCTTTTAATATGCCTATTCATACTATTTTCTAGAACTTCAATTAATAATCATTTGAATTTTGAATAAGGATATAGAGATAGAATTGAATCTTTTCGGATTTTTTACGGTTCACTCGTCGAGTGGGTCACTACCGGTGTCCGGCGGTTCATGGCCACACATCATAGATGACCCACGTGACCGGCGGTAGTAACAAAAATGTCAAACGCTATCATGCTGCTACGCTAGCCTCGGTCCACCACTAAGCAAACCAGCCAGCCCGTCCTGGCCAGCCTGCCACAGCCACACATGAGCCGAAACATCGCACATGTCCTACAGGGCCAGCACCCTGCAGCCACTCTCCACAACCCAAATCATCTCCCCAAGGAATTCACGTCGAATGAGATCAAAACGCATTTCACTTACTACATACATACATATACATATGTCACCGCCAGTAAAAGAGTCCAATAACCATTATCACCAAGCTCTTCTACCAAAACTCCAGCCTTTCCGTTGCACTTGTCAATGAGGGGATTGATACTCTCCTCGAGTGCTCTCTATCGCTCCTCTCTTTTCCTTACAGGTTACAGCTACTAGTACAACGGAGGACGCCAAAACACTACTAGGCAGTAATAAATCTTCCTCGACTAGTTGTTGCCATTGTAGCCCATGCTGTAACTGCTGCGGAATCGCAGCCCGTTCTGCTCGTACGGCGCTGCCGGGTCCCCGTGGTTCAAGGCCTTGATCTCCACGGGACGGCGGCTGGTGTCCCCCTCCTGCACGGCTCCGAAGACGATCTCCTTGGTTGCATCGCAGCTCTGCTCGTAAAAGGTCTGTGGCCCAGCCGAGTACTGCCTGTGGTGCTGCAGGTACTGCTGGTGATGCACCTGCTGCGGCTGCGTCGGCAGCGGCGGCTGCTGCTGCTGAGGTGCTGCTTCTCCGGTCCAGCCATGTAACTGAGGCCGACTGTGGCGGATGTGGTGGATCTTCTCCGGCTCCTTGGACATGAAGGCATAGTTCTTGCGAGGGGTCGGCGCCCTTGTGTCCAGTGGCGGTGGGGTCTCGTCCCGTGGGATGGCGTAGCTTTCTTGTACTGGCCAGGAGGTTGGCCTACCCAGCTGATGATGATGAATGTTTACTCGCTTCTTTCTGGAGAATGCGGCGCCGATTATCTCTGCAATTGATGATTTTGCTCCACCCACAAGTTTGCTGATTGACGTGAAGAGCCCTTCCTCCTCTTGTTTCACAGGTTCATCATCATTTGGAATTAGCGTGGGGCGAAGAGAAGGCTTTAGTGGCTTCTGGTATGGAGGTGGAATGCTGGATAATTTAGCTTTTACTGGACTCTCATGTTCCTGCTCCTGTATTGTAAAATTTGCATTCAGAACAATATACTGCAAGAATACAAGTAGGATGGCGAGTCTCGACAAGTACTGAATTTTGAACTGGACAATCCAAATAAGGATAAACTAAAACTGAACAATTGTGTGGTTCCCTCTGTTTTCTTTTTTGGATAATGCTCGACGAACCTTCCATCATAAACAAACAACTAGATGTCTACACAACTTTCAAAATGCACAACATAACTAACAAGAAGATAAGTTGTTTTAGTACTCTAGTCTAACTCCAATTAAGCAGAACAGTATTAATCTAGACCTAAAAAGTTGTTTTGCACATAAAGTTGGTAGCAATTCTTGGCTGGCTGGAGGCATTTGAGGGTGGGGAGGACCCAGACCGAAGCCAATGGATGATGGACACCAATACCAGGAGAGACAAAACACCGATGACAACAAAATTCATGTGCTGGCCTGCTGCATTACAGCAGGCTCACGGACCACTGTAGTCCTAGCCATATTTGCTAACCCTGCCAATCTGCCAGGGAAGGTACATTTTTTTTCTTTCCCTCACAAAATAAAGACAGTGTTAGGCACTTGATACTTACATCTCCATTTGAATACATCCCTAAAACTCGGCGTTGAAGCAGTGCAAGCATGTAGCCAAAGAAAGCGGCAGCAAGAAGCAGTGCGACTCCTGCAGGCATAGAAACTTAATATGATCAGATACATCATAGAGTTTAAACGGCACGTTTAGGTGGTAAGCTTTAATCATAGGTTTTTCAGGTCCAGCAATGATTGCAGAAAATGGAGCAATGTATAATATACCTAGAGGAAAACCAGCTTCATACTGGTACACACAGTCATCAAAGTGGAGCTGAATCTCCCGAATTGCTTGGTTTCCTCTGTCAATCACCAGAAGGGAGCAGCTACTGCCAATGTAACGAACTTCAAAATCAGTAGAAAATTTTGCCTCATCACTTGGTCCGTCAACATGCCCTCCTCTGCCTGATTTTCCCCCAGCAATAGTTGTAACCCCTAAGAATCGGAACACAATATGTCGGGAAGACATGAACTTGTTCTTTACTAGAGATTAGGTAGATAAGGGAAAGTATGCATAATGATTGCAGAAACATCTAAACACAGACCTTACTAAAACTCAAGCCCAGTTAGGAACTTAGGATCATGCCTCTAGCTAACTTCAACTTGAAGAACACAATAAAATTTATCCATGTAGAAATAGTTTTGGAGCAAAGAGACACGAGCCTAAACAAGTCAACAATATATATGTATATATCAAGTATACAAGGTACAAATTAGGCTAGAAAATTAGAAGATATCAGTTAACAAATTTCCTATGTAATTTTAGAACATAATCTTCCACGAATAGGTAAGTCTGAATTCAAAAATGCAATTTCATTATTCACTGATAGCCTTTTGAATGCCAAAGAGGCTCTGTTCTGAAAAAATTTCAGCAAATCCCTTTTTTTCTCGTCCATTTCCATTCTGTAAAATGGAATGACAGGTTTCCCAAAACAAATATTGGGAAAAGAAAAAAGAAGCTTTCAGCAATTAGCACTCAAACAAATATTTCATCTGGACATCACAATGCAATTCAGAGACTAAACTAAGCATATTTACTCAAGCTGACCACAAGTGTGCCTAACAGTGTATCCTCTTTCTAAATGCAGTTTTGGATCCAGGTGCTGAATACATGACGGACAAGACCAGCAAACACCAAAAGGCAAACATTGGATACTCAAGGAACAGACAAAACCATGTGCATCTACCCTACCGCAGGACATTTTAGCTTACCTGTATCACTGATCTTTCTAATGGCCATGTTCATGGCATCAGCCACATAGATGTTACCCCTGTCATCCACTGTAAATCCCTTTGGATGGTTCATCCTCGCCTCTCGCAGCTTCCCATCAACATGACCAGGAAATCCTTCAGGGGAACCAGCAACAAGCTTCGGCCTGCTATCTGCATTGTTCAGCCCAGTTTCAGGAGATGAGATAAATCTTGTGTGGCTCAAAAGCATTTGCTGGTAAATGAAACATAGACAGGCATAAAGAAAAACACATAGAAAAGATGTACTCCCTCCGTCCGCAAAAGAATGTAATTATGGGAATCGTGCCGGTCAAACTAACTCATGTTTGACCAAGTTTATAGTAAATAATATTATTATTGATGTCTCCAAATAAATTTATTATGAAAATATATTTTATAACTAATCTAATGGTACTTATTTTGTATCATGAAGGTTAATACTTTTTTATATATAGTCAAAGTTCAAACTGTTTGACTTTTCGAGAAGCGAGAATTGCATTCTTTCGTGGACGGAGAGAGTAAGACTGCTGGTAATCAGTATAACTGTTTGGATCAAATGTTTATATCACAGAGAGGGGGATCAGCATGTGATGACGCACTTCTTAGTGCTAAACACAACAGCTAATAGCAACACCTTGACGAAATTTGATACCATTGCATATATAAGCATAAAAGTAGCAAAGATTAGATTGACACCTTTTTTTTTCAGACCACATTTCTACAAGTGAACACACCGCATAAAAATGGAAGTGGCCGAGTTTCATAAATCAGCTGAAAGCAACTGAAAAAGCATTACGTAGCCTGTGCAGGCTGCAAGCTAACAAAGACATCGCCATCAAAAGAATGGCCATGCCGGAATTGATGACACCAACCAATCCACAGCTTCGGCAGCACCAACTCCACCAAACAAATAGCAGCATATAATTAGCGGAGCCCCCACTGGGGAGTAACACCAAAACATGCCGGATTCAGGGGGGACTAGGAGGAGGAGGTCAGCCAGGGCGCACTCACATCGGGACAGCGGCAGCGCCATCCTGTAGATGTTGCTGTTCATGGAGTCCATGACGAGCAGCTCGCCGCCCTGGGTGACCTCCACGGAGTAGGGCTCGATCCCCAGCTTGCTGCCGTCGAAGATCGTCTCCACGGTGTACCCGCCCTCGTACTTCACCATCGACTTGCCTCCGCTCGCTGCTACAACACCAGGAGCAAACGCGTCTCAGGAAAAACACAAATCGGAATCGGAGATGGAACAAAACGGCAGAGAGATTTCAGCAGTCACCTGTCTTGGTGGTGGATTTGAGCGACCACAGCCGCTTCACCACCGACGACGCCGCATTGGAGAGGAACCCGCTCACCACCCCTGCGATGCGATGGCAACGAAACACACCCGTCAAATCCAACACAAACAACCACCCCCGGACGAGACTCGAGAGGCGAGCGAAACCAGGAGCCCGAGCCTCGGCCGCTCACTCACTTGTGGGGTACGAGGACGCGTAGGCGGGAGCCAAAGAGCTAAGGAGGAGCGCGGCCACCAGCAGCGCCCCCATCGGGACGGCGCTCGCGTTCCCTCCCTTGGTCGCCATTGGCAGCGGCAGCAGGACAACCGACAAGTGGGGGAAGCTTGCTGCGAAGAAAGATTTAGAGGACACGGAAGGCGGCCATCTGGGCAAGGGGAAGGAGGCAGGGAAGCAGGCAACGCTCAGATCGAGGACGGAGAATGGGAGAAACCACCAGGAATCAGAGCTTTTCTTGAGCTCCGGGAGGGGAGAAGGGGAGAGGAGAGAGATTGAACAAGTGGGGGGAAAGAGACAAGCCGCAAGCGGGGCTGTGTTCGCTGCGGGCTGCGGCCGCTACTCGCTATCGACGATTTCGTGGGGGTTTAGAGGGGAAGAAAGGAGAGAGGTCCGCGTGACGGTGGTCGGGTACTCGGGTGGCGATGGCTGATGAGAGAGAGTGCGTGTGCCGTGCAGGGGAGTGGAGCGGGTCACGTGCAGAGGGTGATGCAGGGGATGTTCACGCGCCAATCGTCATCGCGGTTTCGAGTAGCACGGCCCTTTTGTGAGTAGTGGAGGGCTAAAAAAAGCTTTTTGATTTTAAAGGTGCTTGCTAATAAATTAATGTAAAAAAGGCTTCATCTAAAAAATTCTGAAAGTAGCTTAAGATTTAAGCGGTTTTCTTAATCCTAGATAAGAACATTGCTAAGAACAGTCCCAAGCTAGAAACCGAGATAGTTTCTATTGTCATTAATTAGAGTGCCAACTAAGTAAAAGGCTTCATCTAAAAAATTCTGAAAGTAGCTTAAGATTTAAGCGGTTTTCTTAATCCTAGATAAGAACATTGCTAAGAACAGTCCCAAGCTAGAAACCGAGATAGTTTCTATTGTCATTAATTAGAGTGCCAACTAAGTAGGATGGTGATTGTGGCAGAGCTGCCCGAAATAACACGTTTTTTGGGACGGTCGTCTTCCACTAGATACTAAGCATCCCGAAAGTTAGCTACATCGGACAATTCCGTCGAGCACACCCCAAGGGGGAACTCGAACAATCCACGTTTTTCCTCTAGGATCCAATAATTAGAATGAGCTTACAATACTTAGTCTATTTCATACAACAAGAGTTCTCGAAAATACATTATTATAGTACCAAGTTCAGAGTGCGGAATTTAAACAGCGGAATTGAAATAAACATCTAACGATAAGATACAAGGATCCGTCTGTGCCCACCAGAAGAATCCTCCACACAACAGCCACTCCTCAAGCTACACCTACAACAGGGGTAAATAACCCTGAGTACACAATGTACTCGCAAGACTTACCCGACTAGTGGGAATAATTTCCCGACTTCAAAGGATATGATAAGCTTTATGGTTTGTTGGGTTTTTTTTTGTTTGCGAAAAACATTACTAGTAGTGAATCCTTATATATGTGTTTATTAGCAGTCATGATTAGTTCATTAGCTAACCATTCTAGGTACGCACCTGTTCTACTTTTAAGCAAGAGTTGAGCAATCTGATTCATTCATTCCCTTTCATCTTCTAGTTCTTACTACGGTGCTAGATCATAGACAAGTCGTACCGTATCATACGGCGATTCGCGAACCAATGTATCCCAGCTAGGTACCCTAAAACACACGTCCCGCTTGTACCCCAGGCACGAGCTGGACCAACCCACCACTCTCCTGTCAAGGGGTCCAGGTCCCCGTCCAAACTTGGACTCCAAGCCCCCACTCCTGAGTTCCGGACTCAGTGTGGTGCTTAGACCTCCACCATCCCTGTCTCCAATCAGTCGGTCCGAAAAGAGCCGGAACCCGCGACAAAAGAACAATGAGCATTCCCACTCACATAAGCAAGTATGTGATCAGGATAATAACTCTGTGACCTGACTAGAATCCAATGCAACGGACGGTCCTTAACCGACACTGTCGGTGACCTAATACTGGGGGTACCCAATGAGGTGGAACTAATAACCATCAAACGTTGATGCTCCCAAACAGACAAGAACGCAACTACACTTCTTGCCCAGGGGACCGAAGGCAGGCTCCACCATGCCCAACCCCCGAGGGCTAGACTCCGCCTCGCCCGACCCTCGAGGGCCGGCTCCACCTCGCTCGACCCCGAGGGTCGGGCTCCGCCTCGCCCGACCCCCGAGGGCCGGCTACGCCTCGCTCGACCCCGAGGGCCGGGCTCCGCCTCGCCCGACCCCCGAGGGCCGGCTCCGCCTCGTTCGACCCCGAGGGCTGGGCTCTGCCTCGCCCGACCCCCGAGGGCCGGCTCCGCCTCGTCCGACCCCGAGGGCTGGGCTCTGCCTCGCCCGACCCCCGAGGGCCGGCTCCACCTCGCCCGACCCTCGAGGGCTGGCTCTCCGCTCGACCAGGGGCAGCTCGCCCGCCTCGACCCGAGGGCCTGGCTCACGCCGAGACCCCGAGGGGCTCAGGCTCGCCGCCCTCGACCCCGAGGGCCAGGCTCTGCCTTGCCCGACCCCAGAGGGCCGGCTCTGCCTCGCTCGACCTAGAGGGTCGGGCTCCACCTCACCTTCCACCTCGCGCCGACGATTGCACCCTGCTCCTTCATAATGACGGACACAGGGTAAGGTAGGACATTCGTGTCAACCACAGTACCAAGGACCATGCCCTGCACACCTACGAGAAGGTACCATCAGGATATGACAGGACAGGCGCTTTAAGCCCTCCCAAGCATGGCAGAGTTCGAATAGTGTTGTAGGCACCGACTTTCGTCCTACAGTGTTGTAGGCGCCGCCATCAGCCCTCGGGCGTGGATCCTGACATAAACATACGACAACCACTACAATCAAAGAGGGAACTCACGTCATCAAACAGTAATAGGTGTATAGTCACTTCCTCGCCTACTCCTCGCAGAGTCATGGCTCAGCACCCTAACACACCGCATCGTCTGCCAAGGGAGGATGGGACGTGACCACTCGCTGAAACAAAGCCAGAGCCCGGCCCTTTCAGGATCAACGAAACATGCTATCCCTAGCATGGTCTGCCATGTCAGCAGGGCAGGCTCAGGGGAATAGGAAGACCCGACACCTTCGAAGGACCTTCTCTACCTTTGGTTTTTTTTCTCTTTCTCCCGTATGTAACCCCTGCTCCCCCCTTGGCCTATAAAAGGGAGGGCAAGACACCCCACGAAGGGGATGGATCGATTCCACACACAACACATCACCTAACACATACCTGGGTGCCTTTCCACGGCATCGTGCCCGGGAAGCAGGCTATGTCGCTCGGGTAGATTGATCTACCCATTACCTTCGGGGATCAGTTCAATTACAGGACTGAAACCCTCACCTTCGAGGTGGTTGGATTCCCCGAAACTTTCCATGCCATCCTGGGACATCCATGCTACGCGAAGTTCATGGCCGTCCCCAACTATACATACCTCAAGCTGAAGATGTCGGGCCCCCACGGGGTCATCACCGTCGGCACCTCCTTCCAGCGTGCCTATGAGTGTGAAGTCGAGTGCTGCGGTCACGCAGCAGCAATCGTCGCCTCCGGAGAGCTCGCCACCCTCAAGGAAGAGGTCACCGAAGAAGCACTTGATGCCAAGAAGTCGACTAGGTCGGTCGAGTCGACAGAGGGCTCTAAGGAAGTCCTCGTAGACCTCAACAGCTCTGAGGGCAAAACGGTACGCATTGGTACCACGCTTTCCTCCGAATAGGAAAGCGCGCTCGTCGACTTCCTCCATGACAACAAAGACATCTTTGCATGGAAACCCTCGGATATGCCAGGCATTCTAAGGGAGGTCACCGAGCATACCTTGAAAATCCACCCAGGCTCTAGGCCGGTGAAGCAACGCCTGCGTCGCTTCGACGAGGAGAAATACAGGGCCATCGGTGGAGAAATAGCCAAACTTTCGACGGCCGGATTCATCAAGGAAGTATACCACTCAGAGTGGTTAGCTAATCCCGTTCTTGTACGAAAAAAGAGTGAGAAATGGAGGCTGTGTGTTGACTATATGGGTCTCAACATGGCGTGCTCAAAGGATCCATTTCCTTTGCCGCGCATAGACCAAATAGTCGACTCTACCTCGGGGTGTGAAACCGTCTGCTTCCTTGATGCGTACTCCGGCTACCATCAAATCACAATAAAAGAGTCCGACCAGCTCGCGACGTCTTTCATCACCCCCTTCGGATCATTCTGCTACATTTTAATGCCGTTCGGCCTAAAGAACACTAGAGCTACGTACCAGCGTGGTATGCTTAAATGCTTCGGGGACCTCACCGGGCGGACCGTTGAGGCCTACGTCAACGACATAGTAGTTAAGTCTAGATGGGCTGACCACCCCATTGCCAATCTTGAGCAGACCTTTGCAAAACTCTGAGCTAATAGCATCAAACTCAATCCCGAGAAGTGTGTTTTCGGGGTCCCGAGGGGCATGCTGCTTGGCTTCATCGTTTCCGAGCGTGGCATCGAAGCCAACCTAGAGAAAATCTCAGCCATCACAAGGATGAGCCCGATTCAGAACATAAAGGGGGTTCAACGAATCACAGGATGCCTCGCAGCACTCAGCCGATTCATCTCGCGCCTTGGCGAATGAGGTTCCCCCTTTATCGACTCTTGAAGAAAGCCGACCGCTTCGAGTGGACATCCAAGGCCCAGGAGGCACTTGACATGGTCAAACTGCTTCTGAGAAGGGCCCCAATCTTGGTTCCCCCAAGCAGCGGAGAATCCCTCCTGCTATACATAGCGGCCACCACGCAAGTGGTCAGCGCCACCCTGGTAGTAGAGAAGGAGGAAGAGGGGCATGCCCTCAAGGTGCAGCGCCCTATGTAATTTGTCAGCGAGGTGCTATCCGACTCTAAGACCCGCTACTCCTAAATCTAGAAGCTCCTATATGCGATCCTGATCGCCAAGAGGAAGCTACGCCACTACTTCGAGTCACACCCCGTGACGGTCGTGACATCGTTCCCCCTCAGCGAGGTCGTCCAGAGCCAGGATGCCATGGGAAGAACCGCCAAGTGGGCGCTCGAGTTGATGGATCAAGGCATCACGTATGCCTCCCGAACGGCGATCAAGTCCCAAGTGTTGGCTGACTTCATCGCGGAGTGGACCGAGGTCCAAACACC